TGTAGCTTACCAACAAAGAGTAGCTCGATACTATAACACTTGGGTCAGAAAACGACACTTCTGCATCGGCAACTTGGTTCTTCAGAAGGTTATGGTACCTAAGCTCGGCATTGGCAAGCTTGGACCGAATTGGGAAGGTCCATACCGAGTGAAACGGGTATTTGAGGAAGGCACGCTTGAGCTCAAAACTTTAGAAGGGAAGCAAGTACCATGAGCATGGAATATTGATAACCTAAGAAGGTGCTATTCTTGAACTTGCAACCCAAAGGCAAAATTTCCTCAAGTCTATGTGACCATCGAACTGGTTGAAAAAGATGACGGACTTGAGAGAGGACTGCGAGTCACTACCAGAAGCCTAAGGGCTATGGCACCGAGCTAATAGAAGACCTCGGCACTACGACAAGTCCTAGTCGCCTCTTTGGTATAGGTAGACAAGTCCTAGTCGCCTCTTCAGCATAGGCAGACAAATCCTATTCATCTCTTCGGCATAGGTAGACAAGTCCTAGTCGCCTCTTCGACATAGGCAGACGAATCTTAGTCGCCTATGAGTTATAGACAGCTCGGGTGCAAACCCTACGGTGTCGAATTCACCTCGGTGTACAACAACGTAAGGTTAGTCCCACATGGAGCCGAACTCGTTAGCTCGACACTTAGGGATAACCAACACTTAGGCAAATAAGTGACCCAGGCATAGACAGTTCGGGTATGTATCCTACAGTGTCTGATCATCCTGGCATGCAACGACAATTATATTATTCCAACTAGCACAAGCTCACCAGCTCGGTAGCAACCTATACTTAGGAAAAGTTCACTCCTATTTGGTTTAGTTCGCTATTTCGGGATTAATCTACACTTAGAAAAATTTTTGCACACAAGGATTACCAAAACACTTATATTTCATTGATGTAGAACTTCGAGTACAAAAAAAAAACTACTATAACCGAGCTCGGAGGCCTGGGATGTACATTGTATGTAAGGAGGTCCAAGAAAAGAGGCATGACTATACATCCGATCTGCTAGAATCCCCTCCAACAGGTAGGTCGATTTCCATGTGATCCTCCTCCACGTCCTCTCGGCCTGCCTCCCCTGATGGCCCCGCCTCAAGAACTTCACCGTCGCTTTCCCCTTCGGAGGAGTCGGGTTCCTTGTCGGCATCCTTCGCCATCTCAGGAGTGACGCCTGACATGGAAACAGATCCGAAGTCGAGCTCGGGAAACTTCCGCCGCACCAGCCATTTGCAAAGCTTGAAGCATGACTGATACGAGCTAGATCCATACTTGATCTGAAGTTCGTGAAACTCTGGAGACTCCTTGAAATCCTCGATGGCGCGCTCTCTCTCTTGAACCCACGCCTCCTGGATGGCGGTGTCAAAGATCTCGGTGCGCTCCTTGATGATTGCCTCAAGGTTCTCATTCTCGTGCAAGAGAGCCTCCTTCTCCCCCTTGAGTTTCTCCTTTTCCTCCGTCAGTACGAGAATCAGCTCCTCCTGGCTCCGAGCTCCCTTCTTAGCTCGAAGAACCTCACCCCGAGCTAAATCCAGCTCGCAGTAAAGCTTCCGAGCATTCTCTTCGGCCTCCCGGGCTCGCTTCAAGCGGATCTCCGACTAGTAGACGAGTGAATGAATGGTGGAGTTCACCTGGCAAATAGAAAGCAGACGTTAGTACTATTAACAGAAGAGTAAGAAAAAAAAGCAAAAGGGCGAGCTACTCACCACCATGCAGTAACTAACCGCTCTTCCCCCGAGTTGACTCATTGGCATGTCAGCCCATTCTGCGACCTCCGCAAGAAATATGGCATCCTTGCTCTTGAGGAGCCCGATCCACGGGGTCATTATGCTCTCCTTTGGGAGCTGAGGCTCGGGCACCAAAGTACCCTCGGGCTCGCGAGGCGGGGCTCCCTCATCTTGGTCCTTGTCCAGGTCAATGATTGGGGGTTGGTGATGAACCTCCTCCTCCGAGAGCTCGGCCGAGATCGGCTCCGGCGCAGCGACCTCGGGTTGGGCGGGAACCGAAGGACCGACCTCCTCCCGACGAGACCTCTTCGAGGCCTTCCTCTTCTTCCCCCTCTGAACACTCCTCAGAAGGTTTGCTGCACCAACGCCTGTCATAGCTTCAGCAAGAGAAAAAGGAAGTTAGTCACGAACTGAAGTAAGTGCAAAATAAGAAAGAAAAGACAATGTGTGTGGAGGTGGAGGCATACCGGGAGGACTTAGCCCAGCTCGTACAAGCTCTCCTCAGCCAAGAAATCTTTCATTTCAAGGCCGAGGTCCCTCTAGGAATTAATGACCGCCCTAGTCTCAACATCTAGCCTCACCCCGGGGTCCTTGATGGCCACTTGCCAGTGAGTTGGGAATGGCCATCCCTCAAGGTTCCGAGCAAAAAAGTACCTCCTCTTCCAGGCCGGTACTTTGTTCGGGCTACCGAACAAGACTTTAAACCTAGGGCGGGGGGAAATGTAGTAACTCTGTCGGGTGTCCCCGCGCAGGCAAGCGGAGTTCTTCTTGATGGAGTAGATCGAACTAAAAGTGTCTAAGAAAAGAGGTCAGTTATACTCGTGGAACAGAGAGATCATGACAACTATGGTTCAAATGGAGTTCGGGTGTAACTAGTCAATGGTATTGTCGAAGAACTTAATAATCTCTATAATGAAAGGGTGGAGCGGGAAGCGCAACCCAGATACGAGTTGCTCCTCAAAAACCGCGAGCTCGTGGTGACCATGAACCCAAGGGGATTGACCCAAATGAATGCTAAAGGTAAGGGTGTCTGGAAGACAGTAACGGGCTACCAAGGATAGTAATTTGTCCGAGGTCATCGTGGAAGGGCCGAAGTCATCCAGATCCCGACCCCGAGAAGAAGATGGGGCCCCCTTTCTGGAGGCCGGTTCCTCTACCCAAGCTTCAAGTTCCTCAGGCCGAGAAGGCCCGACATCGGGTAAAGGTGTTTCCCCTAAGAGGTGTAATGGTGAGCTCTCTAGCGAAGAGCTGACCTCACTGACGGGAGCTGAGGACCGCTTGGCACCCTTCGGCCCCCTATTTATAGTCCTCCGCATCTAGCGATCAACGACTGAGACCTGTACGATCCGACGGCTCCCATGAAAACCGTCTGCACGCCACCCGAGGACGAAATCGGTTGAGCGCGCTCTTTAACGTCCGCGGAATCTATAAACAGTGTGATGTCTGTGCGTGCCTGGGACGCGACCTGGATCATTTTGTCGTTGAGCCAGATGGTTGAACAAGCTCGACCAACGGTTCGCCCTCCAAATTGATTAGACCTCGTGCCAAATCCACCTAGACTCTTCATGAACTCCCCACACCTGGTTGGGACCCCTGGCACGAGGAGTGTGGGGCAATTGATGAAGGGTGATTTGGCATGACCTAGTAAGAAGGGGACACGTAGGCGTGATCTGATTGAAGGATGACAACTCAGCCAGGCAAGCCCAGTTCGGAACATTCGCAGTTCGGGTATTCAACCACCTCGGCCCAAAATCTGCCTTGGTGTAGAGGCACCTCGTCCAGTTCGGGACTAAAGAACAGAAGTTCCAGCTCGGAGTTAATGTGCCGAAGCGCCTTATAACCCCAACAGATCCCGAATCTCTTGAGGTCACGATGAGCCAATGGATATCGAATTTCTCGAGATCATGATAAGAACTCATCCTGGTTCCGTCTAAATCGGAGGTAGACGATAAACCTTATCAATGTACTGCTCTCTTTCAAAAACGGAACCAACCTTATCTACATAGCCCGGAGAACATGGAGCTCTTCCATAAGGCCCGCGACTACTCCAGTATATAAAAACTCGAAATCTCAAGACAAAGGTACACGATATTATTTTACTTACTAGCACTCAAGCTCTCAAACATTCAKCTCGCACTCACAACATAAGTATTGACTTAAGCATCGAAACATCCTTGTCGGATTAGCTAGCCCGAATTTTCTGATACATTGTTTTGTAAATCCAGAAAAGTGTAAGTAGGCCATGGTATTTTACAGCGAGTTGTACTGCAACAACAACTGGGCCCTAGAGCCGGAGGCAGAGGCCCATACCAGCACGTCACCTGCCATCAAGTGGACCCCCATGTTTTTTCTCCACGATCCACATCATCAAATGCTCAAATCAATGACTCTCAGCTCAGCCCTCAGGAGTCAGCACAGGAGCAGCCACAGCATCGGAAGGGCATCAAAATTCAAAGGTCGCAGTCCGTAATCGATACCTTTCTGTGTGGTTACGGGCCTTACGGCCTACAACTACCAAGGCAGACGACAGACGAAGAAGACGATGATACCCTCCCTCTCCGAATCTGAATCAGCTGCCAATAAGATACCTTCCAACACTCTACCAACAACATCTGACACCGCAGATTTCATACATGGGTCCCATTTTTTTGATGATTGATGGACCCGGTTTTATAACGAGACGTGCAGTGGGGACGTAAATTCGTAGAGTGTTGGAAGGTGATCCCAATTCTCCCTCCTCCTACTCCATCCTCTCGTCATAAACCCAAACTAGAATCATTGTGCGGTTGCTACTTGCTAGTGTGAGCTCCATCACTCAATCAAATCAAGTATTAAAAGTTACAGTAAGACCGGTCATGGCGACGGACTGTAGCCAAACTATCCACTTCTCTTCCGTCAAAGTAAAGGCAGACTGACACCGGATTTTTACTACTATGCTGGGTTACTGGGCCCCACCTAGTTAATCTAGATCTGAATCATAAAAAGGGAGTCCTCCGTTGATCTAATGAATCTAATACGAGGAACTACATTGATCCCCGTGTTCCTCTCTACACATTAGTTTTATCTTCGTAGTAGCCGACGTATTTCAAACGCATTCCTTTGACTAGTGAGCGATATGCCTTCTTTTACGGGTCATGTGTCCTCTTGTCCTCTACTGCTATTCTCTTCCTTATCTCTGTCTCTCTGCTTCTAATCTTATCTTTTTAATAATAAATCCTGTAAAAAATAAAAAATAAAAACCAGAGAGAGAAGAAGCAGCCAGATTCACTCTTTTGCTTTTTCACCTTTTATATAACTTAATAAAGCATTAAAACACTGTAAAAGAACAACATCAATGGTGAGGTCTACATAATCAATTCTTCTTCCATTTGTTTTAATTAGAAAAAAAAAAAAAAAAGAGAGAAGAAAAAGCAGAGATACATCACAAGATCAAGCAGAGAAGATCGAAAAGATCCAGAGGGAGAGAAGATAGAGGAGGAGCTATAATGGAAAAAAGCTGTCAATCATTTGTAAGCTCTAGCAGTAATAGCAGCAACAATAACAGAGATCATTACCTCAAGCATCTCAATAAAATCTCTCACAAGATATCAAAAGATCCACCAAAACCTCTCATCAGAAGAATTCCTCCTCTTGATCATCATCTTTCCCACCATCATCACCAGCACCAGCAGCAACAACATCAACAGCAACAGCAACAACAGCAAAATCAGCCTCCGGTTTATAATATCAACAAAAGCGATTTCAGGGATGTAGTTCAGAAGCTCACAGGCTCTCCGGCTCATGACCGCTTCTCTACCCCTCCACCCATCCACCCGCCCAAACCCCCAAGCTCCCGTCTCCAGCGTATACGCCCTCCCCCGCTTGAGCATGTTAGCCCCAGGCCTCCCCATCCGCTAAACAACACCGTTGCTCCTATGGCCGCCACTTCGGCTTCCTTGCCCTCCATAAACCCCAACCCCAGCATCAACAGCGGCAATTTCAACAACGTCGGTAACTTTATCGCCACCAACAATGGGCAGCCACCATCGCCTCTATCACCCCTTCCACCTTTCCCGGCTGTCCATGCAGCAGCAGAATCACCCATCTCTGCTTACATGAGGTACCTCCAGGGCTCGATATCGGCTACAGATCCTGAATCAAAGCGATTTTCCGGGTTATCCCCTTTGGCGCCGCTTGTCTCACCCCGCTGGAATAACCCTAGCCCATTGCAGCTACAACAACCGCAGCTCCCCCTGCCTCCGCCACTGCCGCAGCAACAACAGGTTCTCCTTCAGTCACCGACCTCGGCAATGACTCCTTCGCAGTTTCTGATGCCTTTGTCACCTTTGCCTTTTGGAAGACTTCCGTCACCGCGGTCTCCATACCCTTTACTTTCGCCAACTTTTTTATTTTCGCCTACGGCGGGTCAGTTAGGGTTTCCTCAGTTCCCTCCATCGCCAAGGTTGCCGGTGCCGAGTCCTAAGTGGAGAGATTTTTAGAGGCTCAAATTCATAGTTTCTGGCGAAGAAGGTGAGCCTTCTTTGTCTGTATTCATCTTTCTTTTCCTTTGTTTTTCTTTGTTTTTTTTTTTTGTGTTTAATTTGTACCATGTCTGTGTCTTTGTTACTTCTGTACATCGAGAAGTGGTTATTCAAATTGCCGGTTGTTGGGGGGAAGGAGATCTAACACTGGTTAAAATGGATTTGTTCTGTAAATGAATGTTAAAACACATAAAAACCCTAGATTTATTCTTCTTACTGGACATGGTGGAGAGAAGGTTAACCCTAGATTTATTCTTCTTGTAATCGTATTCAATGTGTTTGGTTTATGAATTCATCATTTGCTTGGAATACCTTTTCAACATTTCTGACTAAACGATCCTGATTAGACACATTTAGAAAGATGGCGTATATGGATTCTTATTTCTCTCGAGTGATGATTTTGCTTCAAGTTTGACAGATTATAGGCACTGAAACAAGGCGGGTTCAAGCTTCATGGATAGAACAGCTTCTTGAATGAACAGGATTATGCTGCAAAACTGGGTTGATTTATTCTGATGTGATAGAAGAAAGTTTGTTTAGTATTTGCTTAATTTGCTACTAATTTACACAAAAATCCTGGTCCTGCATCATCATGAGAAGCAGATTTTCCCTTTGGTGCTCTTTAATGACTAGTGTTCAATTAGGTTCCAACCACAGAGATTTTATGTGGTTGAATCTCTGATTGATTGTCATCATAACTAATAAATATAGCTTCTGCTGGTCTAGGACCTGAGGTTTCTCAGGCAATGGATTTATGGGTCAAGGGCAGCAAGGTTGCCTAGTTCCACTGTGGACCACCAGCAGACATGGCCTCCTACATTTGTCCACCTTTGTCTCCGAAAGCCCCATGTCTTGAAACACACGATGCAATATTTTCAGAAATGTACCAACAAAATGAAGATTGTTGCTGGTAAAATTGAAAGCAGAGAAAGGAAAAAGATAAAGAGACGTCTAGCAAGTGTGTTTTTCACCAATTTTTATGGCTTTAGTTTCCATCCAGTACCCCCCCTTTTTATTGTTTCAAAACTAGAAAAGATGAGAAGCAAGTTGTTGATGGTCTCACCAATTATGTTTTCACTGTCTCCTGACAACGTTTCAACTTCCAAGAGGAACAATGGAGGCACAAGAGAAAGCGATTCATATAGGAATTTGCACTTTGCAGTCTGCAACCTAAAAATGGAAGAACTTCCTCTCAAGTTTTATTTCATTCAGCTTTCAGGCCCCTTGGCATCTGTTGTGAATCTTCCCATTTATCTGCTGGAATTAATAATCATTGAAAAATAAGAGGAGATTTCTGACTCCTCACTTACAGTATACCCGCTTACCCATTTCTCAGCAGGGAGAAGGAGCCACATTAAACAACATATTTAGCAGCTTCGGTGCTTTCCCAAGAAAATTAGTGGTCAAGAATGAAAGTTGGGTCGTTGAGATCTCGTTTGCATGTATTCTGGAAGTTCACTTGTAGTTCCAAAAAGAAAAAAAAAAAAAACAAACTTCAGAATCTATGGCCAAAGCTCCCAAGTCCCAAGTATAGTACCATCAGAACCTTAAACCACCGTGATACTCCATTCTGATTGCTCAGAAACTTACCCGAGTCTTTACATAAAATTACCAGTGATTTTGGTTCTATCACTGGTCCAGAAGAGTTTGTCATTCAAACTGGGAAATGACAATTCAGAGTCAAGGTCATTTTTTAGTTTTTCTTGTGTTTAGCATTCGATAATGTCAAATAGGGTCATTTTTTAGTTTTTCTTGTGTTGCCATTAGACACCACCACCGACTGAACCAGTTAAACTGGTTCTGAGATTTTGATACAGCTACTGCTATTGATGTCAAATAGCAGATTCCTAAACCTGTAGGGAATATACTCTAATTGGACAAATGAAAAAAAAAAAGTCATAAAAATGGTCTTTATACTCAAAGATCCTATCAGCTGATCCACCATCAAATGGTAAAAATGGTGTTTCTTGAGTAAGTTGTGAAGATTGAGACCCTCCCATTCCTTGTTCATTTCTACTGAAGGAACTGAATGCCCATCCAAGTTCGGTGCCCCCTTCACTTGCTCAGGATTTTGTGAATTCGTGAAACAATTTGCAGTGAGGTTAAGAGACATGGATATGAATGATTGAAGGTGGAAAAATCAGATTATTTAGGCCCTGTTTGATTCGTGGAAATAGGGGTTTGGAATTAGAATTAGAATGGTCTGTGGTTCCAACTGTTTGATTGAATGGAATCGGAATTCTGTTCCCATTCCACCTGCCCTGTTTGAGGGAATGGCCCTTTCGTCCCCTTCTGGGAATGAAATCTTGTTCCTTCTGATTTCTATTTTCATTCTCATTCTTATCTGAACCAACTATGGGAATAGATTATTTCAATTTCCGATTTCAATTCTAATTTTAATTCCGACTGTAAACCAAATGGACCCTCGTTTATTTATATTGGGTAGAATATATCAATTGCCAAGTGCCCAGCTTAAGAGCTTGATATACAAAGTGGCCTTGCCTTTGGTTTCTGGTTCTATTTTTGTTGACTCCTACCATTTGCAAGAACGAATCTGGTGCATGCACTGTTCTGGGACTCAATTTCATCATGTAACAACTAGCAGTTTAGACGCACCTTCTGTTTAGTCATTGCTTGCTCGTTATTACACAGTATTATACATAAATGAAATATTCATCCTTAAGTCAAATTCATAAAAACAATCAAAATACGTATAAAATATGTGCGTTTTATGCATGTATAATATTGTCATCACAAGTCAAACGTCTTTTCTTTAACGATTTGTATATTACTACATATGTGTATACAGCTATACATGCTACTTAAAACTCGGTGACTTGGGCTATTTTTACTTGAACCCCAATTTATTTTGTATTAATACGAAGGGTAGGTGAATTATAGACAGCCACCCTGTACTTAAGTGCAGTGAAACTTAGGTGGCATTTTACAACATTAATGTTTTTGTTTTCATTTGGTTTTGGAATCGTTACATCAACAAAAAAAAAATAAAATAAAAACATATATTTGAATTTTGTTTTTTGTTTTTGATGGTGTGTGATCAGGCAGCTCTTACTTGGCAGGTGATTCGAACGTCGAGTTGGAAGTTTCCTTCGTCGGTGGCTGAGTTAAGTTTGGCCAAGAGAAGTCGGGCCGAGCTATGTAGCTCTACAAGAGAAAGATATTAGAGTGCCCGGGTTGCTTTTACCCAGGGTGGGCACTTTGATACTAAAATCAGTAAAAAGTTCTTTGGGATGATGAGAGGATTAGAGAGTGCAAGTGCTTAATCGTGTGTACTTTCTTTGAGGGGAATGGTACCTTTATATAGGTACGAGGGATTAGAGACCTTCTGTAATGGGTCCTAGATTCCCGAAGAGTCATTTCCGCTAAGTCGGGAGAGAGTAGTGACGTTGGTTATGTAATTTGCACAGAGAGCTAAGGTCCGTCCAATTGACTCTGATGCACATGATGCGGGTAGGTCGCCCAACGATCGAGCGTTAATACTCTAGAAGACTCGGTCTGGCAATTGATCTATATGATAAGTCAGTGAGCACACATTGTAGGTCACTGATAGTACCTTTCTTGGCTTGGCTAGTCCCTGAGGTAGGTTGCTCCTCCCTCAGAGGTCCTTTAAGTTGGCCAGGCCGAGGTACCTTAGGTCGGCCCTGGTGAGGTGCTACTAGCCGACCTGTCGAGGTGGTTTGCTTACTCAACACTGAGGTGTCACTTGGAAGCCACATGTCATGATGTAATTTGGAGGACCAAATTACCACTCACCAATTTCCCCCACTCCCGAGTCAACGTCAGCTTGACGAAGGGAGTAGCTCTCAATATAGTAATTTGTTTGGTTGGCTTGTAAGTCGCTTGGCTTGCCCACTTGATCCGGCTCGAGGACAGGCAGAACCACGACACAATTCGAAATTTTCAAAATTTTAAAAGGGGCACATTAGATGGGCCCGGGAAATTCAAAATTCAAATAGTCCGTACGCGGTGCAACCTTCTCAGTTGTCGACTCGCTAGTATTGTGCCGTGGTTGTTGATCTTTCCCACCAGTAGGCTATAAATAGGGGGTACCCACTAGGGTCCCACTCGCACTGTTTTGAAGCTTTCACTAAGGGAGAGGGTGACCAGTTGGAGGAGAGCTCTGTTGGAGTGCCATCGTTTGGTCGTCTGTCGAAGCTTGTTTGTCGTCGATGCCGGCTTTCTGTCCCCTGACAATTGGTAAGTCTATTTCCCTTGTAGCAATATCTTCGGGTCATTCTGATGGTAGGCCTTTAAATTTCTGTTGGGTAAGAGGAGATGGCTCATCACTAGGTCAGGAAGGCTCTCAGGCCGAGGCTTCATTGTCTCAACAAGAGGCAGAGGTGGACACCCAAGAGGTGGAAACCCCATTCGGTCATACCGAGTTGAGTGGAGAGTGAATATTTGAGCTATATATGATGTATCAGATCCTAGTGAGTTCAACTGTATTCATTTTCCTTCATTTTCCTTCGCTTATTCCCGTGGTGCTTTCATTTTTTGTCGTTTCTCTAGGTCAGCTCCATCTCAATGCTATCCGGACGCTCGTAGGATTGATCTCCTTGTGTCATCACCTAAACTTCCCCCTAGATATAGATATTTTCTTTAGGCTATGTACTATGAAGAAGGTCCCCCACATGCCCTATTGTTTTTACCTGCCCTTCGCTCGTGGTTACAAGCTATTGGATGACTTTCCTTTTAAGGTCAAAGATGGAAGAACAAATACTTCTTCCTTTCTCAAAGAGCTAACTGAAATATGGATACCATATGGCGAAGGGATTGGCAAAAGGTCAATGTAGAGTTTGACGATGATCTGCATCTTGACATTCAACGCCTCGTGCGTCGGCGATTTTAAGTAGAGAATTTCTTAGCCGAGTATATGCTTATCCGGGCTGGCCTGAGTCATGTAGGTAGGTCAGCCAACATGTCCTTTGCATTTATTTTAGAATTTAATTTTAGCTCCACAGACCCACGACCCGATGTACACTGAGTCTAGATAGATTCCCACAGACCCTGCCACCTCCTCATTCTAGGTCAGCCAAGAGGAACGTCCTGCCGGCCCTTACACATTGGACATACCCCAATTTGTCCCCAACGTTGATGTTTCTATACTTGACTGCCTTACTAATCCCCTGGTAACTCTTCGCATGGGGAGAGGTATCCTCCTTCTAAAGGACATGTAGTGCTAGTGTGGTATGGACACTTTTGAGGTCGGTGCTAGGATGACTCASTGCATCCTCTAGGTTTATCTTTTTCCTCTCTGATATTTTAATTCTCTTGTCCTGCTGCCTTTG